TATAAGAGAAGTTCAACAGAATTTTGAAGTTGTTCAAAATAACCGGCAGCACAGCTTGATCGATGATGGAACCAAGAAAAGGAGAAGGTGTGTCTTGTGTTACGAACAACTGCAGCAAAGATTCGATTGAGCTTATGCACAAATGAAGACTCCGCAAAGCAGATACAAATGCACAGAATGCGAGCAGTATTTTTATCTGGCCTGTTTTTTCCAAGTTCATAAGTGTACTAAGTAGGTTGGGCAATTTGAAAACTTTACAATGTTATAATTTGTATTTTTCTTAAACAGAACTTTATTTTACTTTTTAAAGTTCCTTTGTATCATTATTTGTAGTTTTGTAGATGTCCTTAATAAAAAACGTAGTAAAAACTGTGTTTTGGTTTTCATGAAATATAGGTACTGACCAAAAAATGTAAATTAGTGAGAAGCGACTAGTGATTCTCAGATCCACAGGCCAATTACAGTATTTGTTCCTTCAAGCCACCTATATTAGCGCCTATAAGGTTTAAATGGCAACGAGAATCGGAGGTCGCTTCTCGCGGCGACTATATTGTACCTATGCATGAGAATCATACGGTGCTTCTCACGGCTATAACAGTGCATTTTCTGAGAAGCACCTTATGATGCTCATGGCAGTCAACCTGTTAATGACTAGGAGTACAAATAAAAGAAGCTAAAAATTATAGGTAAGTATTTGAAAATAAAATTAATATTGTATTAAAAAGTACTTAGTTACTTACATGTTTTCTAATTTTGTATTTTCTTTTTCTGCAACAGAGGCTTCATATTTCAGATCACCACAATGAAATTAAAAATTTTGAACGGTTAACCCACAAGACAAGTGCAGAGTTCTTTACCTTTTAGATTCATCTTCTTCTCGTACCTTAGTAAATCCTAATGACAATGCACCTGGAATTATTCTAGTTCTTCCTCCGCATCCAGTCTTTGACATAATTTCTGGAGTAAGTTTCACTATGTTTCACCAAATGCGTTTTTCGGCAAGATAAGCTGGAAACGTACAAAAAACAAAAAATATTGATTTAACATCTTCAACATTATCATGATAAAATGACTTAAAAACGAAAATCTTGTTTATATTGAAAACTTATGATTAATTTTTTTAAACTCAGTAGGTTCCAAAATCTTAAACAATATACATAATACAAGTTCTTTAAATTTAATTCACTAAATTTACCATTTATTTTAAAATTATGTTTAAGGGCCTTTTGCATAAAATGTTTATATTTCTTTTAAAAAAATGATAGAGATGCTAATGGTTACTTACTTGTGAAATGACCTTGATGATGCCTTTTTATATTTCCATTTAAAACTTACACAAACTCTCACCAATTATAAGGCCTTTTGCATAAAATGTTTATGTTTCTTTTAAAAAAATTATAGAGACGCCAATGGTTACTTACTTGTGAAATTACCTTAATGATGACTTTTTATATTTCTATTTAAAACTTACACAAACTGTCACCATTTTTAAGGGCCTTTTGCATAAAATGTTTATGTTTCTTTAAAAAAAATGCTAGAGGCGCTAATGGTTACTTACTTGTGAAATGACCTTGATAATGCCTTTTTGTATTTATATTTAAAACTTACACAAACTCCCACCATTGTTAAAATTTGTATCAGTAAAGTAATAAAATACAAAAAATCACTTATAAACTACAAAAATTAGCTAGAAATTAATGAAAATCAAAAATCAAATGACAGTTCTGACAATTTCGAACGATTTGACATGCCAAGCACAACGAAACAGACAAATGAGAATGCTGGACACTATTTTTCCCCCCTGTACCAAAACAAAGTCCATTTTGACGATGGCTCTAGTAATATATGCTCGAAGCTATCAATGGGCTTCCACTGGACATCCATTGGATTGATCTTAGAACATATATAGTCAGAAAGGAGCATGTCATGACTGCGTTAATCTAATCGATCTGACGGAAGTGGTAGCCATGTTGTACTATGGATGACTCATCATCATATGATAAATGGTTTCTAAAATTGGTTTATAATTTTAGTGATTTGGATGTTTGTTAATAATTTGAATATTTTATGTGTTAATTTAAACTTTTATCAAGCGTACGTTTTGTAGATATTTTTAAAAAGTGTTTAGTGTTTTAGTATTTATTTAGTAGTACTGTTAATTTTAAATTTTCCGCGTTAAAAAACAAACAAGACAATATGGTCAGTTGTTTATCTTGTGGATATAGCAGCACAGCTAAAAGTAGAAAGGAATAATCTACATTTCATAAACAAGTATTTTGTTCTCTCAATTTTCAACCACATTAAAGATTTTTAAAATTTTTATTGTTTTAAATTTGTAAGCAAACATGGTAAGTGCGTCTGAGATCAACTGTGCTCAGAGGCGTAGTCTCATGGTTTATAGGGTATACATACTTTTATTTAAATAATTTTTTTATACAATTTTAAGATATTTATGTGGTTGTTAAAATGAATAAATTATTGTTTAATTTAGATTTATGAATTGATTGCAAGTAAACAATTTTCAGATTTCGCAAAAATTCTGAAAAAACAAAGTTATAACTTGAGTAAATGGAACAAACAAATTGTGAGCCAAAATATCTTAAATTATTTGTGTTCACGCCATTTTAAAGCAGGTTGTTTTGATCGAACCTCTAAACCAAGAATAATACTTCTACCAACAGCTGTTCCAACAATAAAAGTGGTCTGGTTGAAGTATATAAGTAAATAAATTCTTTACTAACTATATCATGTGCCGTTTTTTTCGTATAATAGAAGTGTATTGTATGACTGTGATGCACCCTATATAATTTATTAAAAATGTATTTACAAAAACGAACACAAATAGAATTAATAATATCTCAATTAAGGAAATAAGTAGCATATCGCATGCCTCAAGATACTGTCTTAGGTCCTATCTTGTTTAATTTTATTTTAAATAATTTTTCGTTTAAATACAGATGGAAATATTGTAAGTTTTGCAGACGACACAGTTATTCTGTAAAATAGAGAGAACTGGAATTGATTAAAATTATTCATAGAAACATATCTTATAAAAATTTTCGAATGGTTTAATTATAAAAACTTACAAACCTTTGATAAAACTTATGTTGTTCCATTATACAGTTACAAAAAGATGGCTTCTTCCTATGGAAACAATAAAAGGTTATGTTCAATAGTTTCATATAATACAAATGATTTTAAATACCTTAGAGTACAAATTGACTCTCATCATAACTGGACTAAGCATGCAAATAATGCGTTGAATGTACATTTAAAAATAATCTATTTTTCATTCATAAAATCACTATTACGTTATAGGATCCTTTCTTGGAAAGGTATTTTACCTGCTTATGCAAAATTGTCCTGCAAAAAATATTACCAATATTATTATATAATAAAATGATCAGAAATTCTCTTCGATATTAGGAAGTTGTATAATAATATGTACCCCAACAAAAACATCTAAAAAGAAATATCAAAGCGATGTTTGACCTAAATATAAGTATAGGATATTTAATTTTTTTAACGCATATCTACAAAACATATTTATTTTTCAAACCTTAATAAATTTGTAAAATGTAGATTAATAAAGACATTGTCATAATAAAGACGTAAAAAAGTCAATATTTTTTTTAATACATTATTGCTTTGATTTCTTAAATGAAATCCCATTATAAATTATCCCAAAAATATTTTCTTATATTTATCCCACCCAACATGCAATTTTAAAGTAAAATTTATTCACATAATGAAGGTTAATAAAAAAATGCAAACTTCTCGCAAGAAAATAGCATTTCGTTAAAATGTGAGAAATCGGTAAATTTAGATAATATGCAAATTAAAATTTATTGTTTTCTTTTATATGCCCCTTTATGACAGTACATCACTGGTAGACCGGAAACACTTGTCGCCATATTCGTCTAGTTTACGGTCAAAATTAGATACCATCGCGATTCCAAGGTCGTTTAGGATTCCTCCTTCCTGACTATATATATTCTAAGGGATTGATGTATGCTATCTGGATAGTTGGTGATATACTGACATTCGCTTTGACACCAACGCTAAAGTCTTAAAAGGTTGAATATTCACTTGATTTAGTGGGAGGCGTACTCATTCTAGGAGTAATCGGCACATAAGTGTCAAAAACTATTCGGACGCAATTTTTTGTCAGAAACTTTTAAAAATATGCCAAAAATTTATATAAATGCAGTTTTCCATGTAGTTCTATTTTATTTAAAACGAAATTGTTTAAACAATTCCTAAAGAATGTTATTTTTTAATAAGATATTTTTTTTATGTTTCCTAACTTTAAACTTTCGAAATTCTAAACTCTTTTTTACATATTTTTATTAATATTTGTGAGATAGCAGAGCAATTTGTACTTGTAATAACTGGTAATAACTAGATAGGAAAGTCATGTGTTGGACACATAAAATTTTTTATTTTGTAGATATTGCACGAAGAAAGATGAGATTAATTAAAAATTCTTAAAGGACATACATTTTTGTATTTTTTTGTAACATAAGTTATAATGCTGATGAAATATTATAAGATTGCTTACCCTTGTGAAAGATAAAATGAAGATAAGTTTCAAGTTTGGTACTCAGCATAATTTCTTTACATTGTTAATTCAAGTGGTGGTTTTTAGTATATATACTTGGCAAAAAAACAGACAAAGTATCTTTCATTTTGTTGTTCTATCTAGGTAAGTCTTTTTAATATTACTGCTGTTAAATATTTTATCAATATATAACATAATTTTGATGAGTGTATTACCTAATCCTTACTTAATAACAGTACTTTTTAAGCAATCAGAAAATATAATTTTCTCACTTAATTATAATTTGTATTTAAAAATTTTATTTTAAATTTCTGCTTATTAAAATAAATGTCAATAACACTAATTAGATCACAGGCATAATATTACTAGACTGATATTTATGATTCCCAAATATGCCAGATTTAATATAATAAATAATATAATATATAATAAAATTTGAATTATTTGTAAATGCTCGAATTTAAGTTGCAGTGTTACTGCTCGTTGAATTAAAGATGTAGCTCCTTATCTCGTACTCTTTATTTTCCAGAAAAATCAAAATGAAATTATTCATTGTCTTCGCTACAGCTCTTTTGTCAGTTACTGCCCTTCCAGCCCAACAACACTGGACCTCGTTCAAGGTATTTTCTTTACACAAAAAGTTTTAAAAATTTTCCAAAAGTCAAAAAATCTAATTGAAATGAATTAATTAAAATTATTAATATTTTAATAAATTTGATTATAAAACGCTAATATAAAAAATAAAAAACTAAAGTTCTAAAAATCAATTTATTTATGAAAGTTTTTGTAGATCTTATTGAACATGCCAAAATTGTACAATGATTGCACAACGTTTTACAATGGTATGCAACTATGCAAAATGAAAGTTGTTCTTAAAAAAATTCCGAAGACGACATTGCATTTACACGCATCACTATGTATTAGGGTGGGCCGAAATTTTTTTATTTTAAATTTCAAATGTGGATAGCGTGGAAAAGTTGTGACTTGGGTCCCTTGTTTTGCATATTTTTTTTTAATTCATATTTAGCCGGGCCCCTGAGGGCTTAAAATTTTGAGATTGTGAGATTTTAATTTTTCAAAAAAAAATCGTGGCTGGTAAGAAAACGTTTACTAGTCCCCTCCTTATCACACAAAAAAAAATCATGAATATATTTTAATCTTTAGCCCAGTCCCTTTGATGAAATATAATTTAAACACGTGCGTAATGAATCTGTGCAGCGCACTGGATGGTTGTTTGTTTGGGTACTTCTTTTGTTACCAGCAATTTGTCTATATTTATCAGTTTTCTCAAGTTCTTACGTTGACGTTGTTGTGTCTTAGCTAGTGGAATTGTTTAAATACGTAAATCGAAAACTAGTGTGTTCTTCTAAATTGTTTAATATGGCAATACAAACAACGTGCGACACGTGCGGGTTCGAATATTTATTTATTCGAAGCAGAGAAAGATATTATTCCAGAAAAAACTATTATGTTGCCGACTTATGAAGATGTGATACGTTCTTTTTAAAATGTTCGTTCGAATTTAAAAGGAGACGGAAAAAATAACCAGAATCAAAAAGAATTGCAAATATTGTTGCCGAAAAAATACAGGTAATATGGAATAGGGCTTCTCTTCACACTTTAGCTCACAAAAGAATCATTGACATGATTTTACAATTTAATAATCACTATCAAAAA